TGGTCCTGGTAGAAAGTTTTCCCAGACAGGAAGAAATAAGTAAGAGTTGCCTTGTCCATGGGAGTAGAAGGACTTCACAGAGGACTGATGCTGATGTCTGTGAGATGCAATGTGGGAAGCACAAGGTTTTCAATTCAAAGCAACAAAGCCTGGATCTGGGGAACACATGACCACCAGTGTGGGCCAATGATAAGGGCCATGGCCCCAGGCCTTTAGAACTCCATGTGACTCGAGGACCTTTGTATAGCCTGAGGACCAGTGGGCTGACCATTGGAGTTAGATTTTTTTTGATACTGAGGATCAAACGCATGACCTAGTGCTTGCCAGGCAGGCACTTATGCCACTAAGCTAGATTGCCAGTCCCAGATATTTTTCTTAGCCCAAACTGAAGAATCTAGATGCACCAAACACTAACATTTACCAGCTCCCAGTTCTTGGCAACAAGCGTACTTCTTTTGGTCTCTGAACTGGTTTCACATAAGTGTCTTCAAGGATCATCCATAAATTTCCATTTACTTAAAGTAAATACAGAAATACACTGTTTCTTGTACACCTAAGTTTATGGAATTTAGATCCACTTTACATGGAGACTGATAGATTAATCCAATCCTGAGATGTTTTCTGTCTAATCTCCCTAATACAATCGGTCCTACAATTCTAGCTCCAAAGAACCTGTCAAATTCTTGACCTTAGGTTTATTCTGCAACTGGGAACCTGATTTAGAGACTATCATTGTCATCCTAGACTCCAGTGATCTCCTTTGGTCGTTAAACCTACATTTCTCAAAACAGGAAGACTAGCTGCCTCAAGGCCCAGCTCCCCTTGTCACTCTTGTCTCTGACTTTTGGCTTGTGTTTTGTCATCTATTTGTAAGACCCTTCCTCCAAGGGCCAAAGCTTTTCAGACTTTACTCAAATAACTATCATCTCAGCAAACACTCCTCTTCTCGCACTCACAGAAGTGATCTCTGCTTCTCTTGTGTCTTTTCTATTTTGTCCTATGGATATATTTATTTCAACACATATTTAATTCCTTCAAATTAATTGCAAGCTTTCTCAAAAATATGTCATGTCTTTGTTATCCTGAGAACAGCACATCTTACATTAGTAGATGATTGGTAGATCCTTAAATGGATAATATGCATGTGTAAACGCACTGTATACAGTAACACTGTAGGGCAGTGTAATTACCAGAATCTGTGATTCAGACAAAAAATGGAAAATTGCCAGATGGAAAAAAATCAGATCTCAAGGCATTAACTGGTTCTGAAATCTACCAGTCAAAGTCTTCTGGTGCAAGAATATCTTATTTTGGCCTAGAAGAGCAAGGTGAGTGGAAGAAAGCTGGAGTCTGGTGGAGAGGATAGGAGGAGGACTTACAAAGGCAATGGGTATTACCAGCCAAAGCAAAGACTGTTCTCAGGGTGGCCTCCTCACAGCGACAGTGGAGTGAAGAGAGACAATGCTTTTAAAGACCCATCGTACTAGGGTTTTGAAAATGGTCACAAGGACCCTAGTAACCTCTTGATAGAAAGTTAGTTTATCCCTCGAAGGAAGCTCCTGAGGTACATTTTCAAGATACATACACAGCTGGCTAATCAGCTCAGAACTTGAGTCCAACAGGTGGTGGGCTATCAGGAAAATAAAGTCACAATTGTTTTCATTTGATTTAAGCTAAAAGTTGTGATACATGTTGACACAAGCTAAGAGTAAATTTGGAGGACATGCTTTTTGTTGTTGTTGTTGTTTGGTGGTACTGGGGACTGAACTCAGGGACTTTGTCCTGAGATGTGTCTCTAGCCCGTTCTATTTTTTATTTTGCGACAGAGTCTCATTAGGTCATTCACTTGCCCAGGTCAGGCTCGAACTTTTCGTTTTCCTGCCTAAACGCCCCACCACCACCACCAGAGTATTCTAATTACAAGCCTGAGTCAATGTATCCAGATTTTCCAATCTGTTCCATCAGGACTTGTGAGATTATGACAGGAGCTGAAGGAATTGCCTCCAGCCTTCAGTTATTACCCACGGTATAAGTAGGGAGAATGGTGAAGTCCAAACACCACACCTAATGTTCTAGTGACTCTACCCTCTAGGATATCTTTGATGAGATCTACACACACACACACACACACACACACACACACACACACACACACAGCTTTGAATCCCGTCTTTATTTTTGGCTTGCACATTGTGAGAGATGGTAATAGGAATGAGCAACCAAGCAAGAGCCACTCATGGAAGCCCAGTTGTGAAAAAGCAGAGCAAAGATGAGAACTTAGGGAAACAGAGAAACCTGAGAAAACAAGCTGGAGGTGCTCAGAAGGAAAGCCTGGGCTTCCATCCTTGACTCTCGAGAGAGGACAGATGTTGGCCCGACTCAGAGATCCATATTTGATGAAGTCTTCTCCTGGGCTCTTAGACCTGAAGTCTCAGACCTTAGTATTCTACTCTGCTCCATAAGACAAATGTAGTAGCATTTCTGACATTTGCTTTACAACTTTATAATTTTAAATGTCTTTGAGGGAGATTTGAACTGGGATACAGTGAATTTTTTTACATATTCCCAAGCCCATTCACATAGTTTAATGTTATATTTTACTCAAAACATGCTAAGATGAACTATGAAAGTCACACACAGGAATGCACATAGAAGGGTATCACTGAGGCCAGATGGCTAAACTGCAGAAGAACGAACTCGACTAGGAGTAACTGGAGCCTGAATTTGGATCCACCCACAAAGACACCCCCCTTAAAAAAAACAAAGATCCGAGTGATGAAAAGTCCAAGGTGACAGGCTGAACATGGCAATGGTATTGCTTTTGGCACTGGGGATGAGACGGATGTTCAGTGTGAAAATGAGTGGAGGTAACTTGGAGACCTAAGAATATGGACCAAAAGAATGCAGAATTCAGGGAGATCAAATTAGGCATGTGAATGCACTAGCAAGGCTGTTAGAAAACAGAGGAACATCAAGGACAGCATTCAGCAGCAAAACTCTAGAGTACAGAAGAAAGAAACAAGGTAAGTCTTCCACTGTGGTGTCAGACAGCCAAAGATGTCCAACAAGCATAAATCAAAAGTCTCTTTTGAGCAAACACTGCGTCCAGATGTGGTGACTGGCTGCCCTGTACTGAGCTCCGGAGAGAGTGTGGACTAACAGCAAGGTAAATTGATGTATGGGCTGACCCAGCCTACGGGGACAGTTTAAGGGACCACGTTGGGAGTGGAAGACATTCAGAGGCTGCAGCGGGCCTCATAGCTTGTCACTAGCCCTGTTGTTCAGCGGGACAGTGGCAGGCCAATGCTGTTCAAAAGATAATAGTGAGCCTTCTGAGTCCTGGCTGGTTGCTCCTCAATGGCCTGCAATACAATTTAAGAAACACTAACCCGAACTACCACACTTTGTCTCTCACACACTAGCCTTATACATACTAAGCTGGAAAAGTCTTTTAAAGACTTATATATGAATATATTTCACTGAATCATAAATCCATGTCTTAATGTTGAATTAAAATTTCTGCTTATTTAGCTAGAAATGAGCATGTTCTGAGAAATATAGGCATTTTTATTTCACATTTCAAATGGATAAAATAAAAGATAGGCAACAAGACATCTTTATCTCTCATCTATATAATTGACACTTCAGTAGGGAATCATAATCACTATTAATTCCTTATGGGGTTTCTTGTTTTTTGAGACAGGGTTTTGCTATATAGTTCAGACTGGCTTTAAGTCCAGGGTGACTTAAAATTTGCAGCTATCCTCCTGCCTCAGCCTCTTGAGTACTGGGATCACAGGTGTACACCAGCACCCCTGGCTCCGTATATATTTTTAAAGTTATATTTTTCTTACAATTGGCAAAAGTCATTTGCTGGTCCTTAACACCCCTGAATGTAGGTGTCAGGGATAACTTAGTGCCACCTTCTACCTGTCTGGAAGGAAGGGAGGAAGAGAGTCTGCTTCACACTATGGAGCCTATGTGACCACGACTGAAAAACATAAGTGAAAAGATTTTAAAGTAGCTGATCACTTACACACAGAACACACTGGTGGGAACATCTGAGGCTAAGTGACTTGGCAGCTTTTTCCAAGAGCTGCTGGACCCAAGAATGTAGATCCTGTTGTCTTCTCCGAGGTCCTCATGCCTTCCTATCCCCAATCTCAGTGTCACCACATCTTGCATCTTTGGCTAGCCCAGGGATGGAATGTCTTCCAGACCAACTACTTTACAAACTGGCACCCAGAGAGGGAAGGAAAACACCTGAGTTCGCATAGTCAGGTTGGATGGACCTGAAGGAATGATCCTTAGGCATGTTTTCATAAGTCCAGGTTTCACGGTAGTGATTGAAAGGGGCTGGGGAGTGTGCTCTGCACTAGGACCATGGTCTGCTAATGAGCGACTGAAGAATATAGTATCTGAGGTTTTCTCCCAGACACCTGGGTTAAAGGTTTTTGCCTTCAACCATTAAAGCAGACTTTTTTCTTAAGTTTACCTGTTATAATTTTACAGGGAAAAACCAGACATGCTGCAGAGCCAGTGGGCAAATTTATTTAATTTGTGTGCAGAATATGAAAGAGACCTAGACCCAGGACTCCTTTAGGCAAATTCTGTCGGTATCTCAACCACTACAGCTACAGACATGGGGACTTCCAGCTGCTCCCCCTAACTCTCCTCAGGTCAGAGTCCTTGTCAGGGACTCTCAGCATCCAGTGGGGTTATCTGAAGATGACATTCTTCAAATGCCTAAACTCAGCCCAAGTGGAGTTGCTGTGAGCCTACAGGGTCAGAGGGTACAGAGTCTAATGCAGAGGCCTTTCCAATTATTCTTCCCTTCTGTTTCTGTCCTTGGGACCTCACTATCACATCCCAGATACCTAGAACATCCCCAGTGTACATTTGGCACTCACTAATGTATAATGAATCCCAGAGTTTCACCCATCCAATCCTCTCATTTTAAAGCAAAAAGAACCCAGGACTAGGAGGATAGTGCAACTTACCCAAAGTCCCAGTTGATTCAGAAGAAAGTAGAATTGGAAAAAAGCTGGTCCTGTGACTCACATTCCTGGGCCCTCTCTGGTCCACCAGTGCCTTACATCAGAGCCTTTGCGTGCACATACTGAGGCGAATGGACAAGGCCGCTCACAACAGGCAGTGACAGGCCTGGGAACCGGGCCCACTCCATTGGTGATCCACAGCACACAGGTTCGTGTTCTTGCTGCAGGCATTTGCAGTGACCCCACAGAGGCTGCCTCACTCAGACTCAGTGACCACAGAGCTCTTCCTCTTAAAGACAGTCAGGGAGAATTAATCTTCCAGGAGTAAATTATATGCAGGATTTCAGACTCAGAGTTCATTTATGATTTCAGGCTGGACAGTCCTTTGTCTCAACAGATCTATCCACAACATTCTAAGAGCTGGCTGCTGGACCTGTTTCCTTGCTACCAAAAGAGCTGAGGATAGGTGCTGGCTAAGGTCAAGCAAAGTGTCCAACATGCGCCAAATGTTGTCCACAGGACCCACAGGAGTCCCCGGCCTGTCCCAGTCGCTGCCTAGTTAGACTAGGACACAATGGCTTTATTCACAGAGAGGTACTATGAAACATGAGTAGGTGTTATTTAAAGAGTCCCCGAAAGAAATGTTAACATGCTGAGTCAGGCTCCCTCTGAGTTAATTTTAAATTCCTTCAACCCATGTTTGGTATCACATTCCCGGAGAAGCTGATCCTGAGACCAGCATGACTCCACCAGACTCCCAGAGCTCCAGGAGGCATGTGGTCCTAGCAATCAACACTGGGCTCCGAGGAAGCAAGAGCCGTGTCAGATGGGCTATGGTTTGTTGATCACAATGGCTCCATGTGGATGAATCTTTGGAAAAGGGTTTGCTGTTATTCTAATCAAAAGCTTTCACCACATTCTAAAGCTTTATCCATGACCCTCACTGCTCCCTCCTTCAGGGGATGACTTTCTAGCAGTCAAGTGCCATATATAAGGAGCCCTTATCATCATCATGAAAGCCAAGAGAAGTGTACTCTTTTAAAAGTGGCATTTCAGGGGCTGGGGATTTAGCTCGGCGGCATAAGCGCCTGCCTTGGAAGCAGGTAGTCGTGAGTTCGATCCCTGGTACTAATAAAAATGAAAAACAGAAATGAAAAAAAAAAGTAGCATTTCATTGTAAAGAAGTTTGTTGATGGAAGCTTAAATAATGATGTGCCAGGAGACATTATTTTTGTAAATACTTGCAACACATCTTTTTCTTAGATTAGAGCTCTTTATGGCTTCTGTTGCCTGATACCTTACCTACCCGACTCCTTCTTTGGGCAGTTTCACCAGGGTTTATCACAGAGACTGTGGTTTTAAGTGGGAGTGCAGAAGGTTGTTGCTAAGTGTCCCTGGGAAATAAGTAACAAAATTTAGACCAAAATTCTTGCAAATGAGAAAACATGTTTTACTTGTGTAACTATGAGAAATATTTTTTACAAGCTGGGTGACAAGAAAAATATTGAGACCCAAGGATTGTTTTCTCTACTTCATATGGTCATGCTACATGTTTCTAGAACTCTCCTTTAACACATTATTTCTGATTTTTCTAAAGGGCTAAAGCCCAGTGAATATCATGCTCTATTTGAAATATAATTTGATGAGAGTTTACTTCCCAAATAAATCTCACTGAAATAAACATCCCCTGAAGTTTTCCCATCTGTGCTAATAGGAGCTCCTTTATTCAGACTTGTGAGTATCTCGCAGCCTTGGAATCAGTTCAAGCTCCCGTCCTTTCAATTCTTTCATAGTGATGTCTCAGCCAATCAGCAAGTCCTACATCAAGGGTGCTCTTCAAACTCAACTCTTGCCCTTCACAAAGAATAGCTGCCCAAATATTTGAAGTGGGAAAGGATAGAGGAGGGACTTGCTGTACTGTCTCTGGTTTAGTTTTCAAAGCTTCTATTATTTGCATGTATTTCCTCCTCTTTCTTTTGTTGTTTTTTTTTTTCTTTTTCTTTACCAAGTCATTTATCTGTTGCCCTCCAACCCTGACACAATTGCTAAACAGGTTTAAAATCCTTCCTCTTGGGACTGGAGATATAGCTCAGCGGCATAAGCACCTGCCTTGCAAGCAGGCAGTTGTGAGTTTGATCCCTGGTACTGATAAAAAGAAAAAAGACACACACAAAAAAATCCTTCCTCTTTCTTATTCATGTTCACCTCTCTCAGGCTGGCTGTGCTACATCCCATCTATCAACACAGCCTTTGCATGAGTTTCATTTCTCTCAATATTTGGCCCAAAATTTATCATTTACTAAAATCTTTCTGCTCACTTCCAATATTTAATTGTAGATCTACATGGTATCTATACTTGCACATGGTATCAGTACGAAACCACGTGGTTTCTCCAGGGAGATGGGGAAGTCCCTTAAAACCCCCAATAGCACCTCTGTGTCTCAGTTGCAGACACTTCTTTATCTGCCATTCATTTAAACTGCACACTGTTCATAGCTCTGAAACACTTCTTCTCTTGGCCTTCTGTATTGCTATTCCACCCTTCAGTTGTTATTTTATATTAAGGGTGTTTTTAAAAATCTTTTTCTCATCTAGGTTTTCGGAGGACATTAAATCCTACAAATTTATACAATGCAACCAATACTAATGTGGTATTTGTGACACATTTCATTAACATTAAAAGTTATCCCTGCTTTTCTGTGTGGGAATAGCATGTCTCGTTTATAAGCCCCCTTTTTTCAGCCTGGGCCCCAGAATGAAGAGAAAAAAGAGGAGAGTTAATTACCAAAGGCCAGAATATGAATGAGAAATTTAAAGACTCAAGTATAGTTTGGAATTTCATGTTAATGCCATATGTTAATCTAACCTTACTGATACCATGTGTAATATGTGGTTTTAATAATGGTAATTTCACACATGTATTTTATCCCTGTCCCCACAAAAAACCTATTAGGGAAGTTTTACTTCTTTAATTTTATCAAGAAAAATATTAAAACTAGAAGAGTGATATTCAAATTCTGGAAGTTGAAAAGTGACAAAATAGATGAAATTAGACCATCAATAGTAAATTCGTAACACTTTGCACTACACTACATGTGTTGTAGTTAAGGTTGCAAGAAGAACAACTACATATAGGACATAGAACTTATTATTTATGATGGTCACCTAGAGTTAAATACAAGAAAATCTGTCCACAACACTAAAGACAGAAAATCCAGCTAAGGGCCTGGATCCCATAGCAGTAACCTGCATGAGTTCAGCTAAAAACCTAGAGTCCACCGCAATGACTCATGCAAGTCTGTTCCATGGATCTGAGCCGGGAAGAGCCAAAGGTCAGCAGTGGAAAGCTGGAGAGTCTATGCTAGCATGGTGAAGGATCTGTGCTAGTAGGTTGAGGGTTCTACACTGAAGCCAAGAAGTCACACTCAAAATAAAGACCCCTAAAAAGTACTACAGCCATCCTCAGAGACAGTGAGGTCCTGAGCTCCTCCAAAGATGAGAACAGCCAAGTTCACCTCAGGAAGCCAATGTGACAATCTTCTCCTGGAGATTAAATAGCACATATTTTCCCCTCCAGAGTCATAAAGTGATGCTCAAGGATCAGAGCTCCTCCAAAGTGAACCACAGCCATTCTCAGTGACAAGGTCCCACGCTCCTCCAATGATAATGACCGAATTCATATCAGGGAAATCAGCATGACAAGCTTCTCCAGGAGAACGAACAGCCCCAAATAACAGCAACACTTAGGAGAACACACAATGCTACTCTTCCTCTCAAGGTCTCCTTTTTGTTTTTTGTTTTGTTTTTGGTACCAGGGATTGAACTCATGATCTCATGCTTGCCAGGCAGGCACTTATGCCACTGAGCTAAATCCCCAGCTCCAAGGTCTCCTTTTTATGCTGGCAACAGTCCTCTGGTGGGTCATCCATGCTCATGGCCACAATGATTGAGTTCAGCTGATGTTTAAGGTGACCACCAGTTACATTGATAACTGTAGTGGATTGCCACTGCAGCATGTTACAGGTTGAATGGAAGAAACATGTTGAAGTTCTAGCCCTCTGTGTACATCCCTTTTAGAAATGAGGTAGTTATAAATGTACTCAAGAAGAGATTATTAGAGCACATCTTAATTTAATATGGTTGTTATCCTTACAAGGTGTTATGGATTAAGAACTGGTGGTCAACTTAATGCCAGCTGGATTACATCAGCATGGCACTGAGTGAAGATGCTCCACCTAAGGAAAGTTGCCATCATAAATAGGTGGAGAAGGAGAAGGAGGTTGTTGAGGCATTGAGGCATTACTGTGTTGTTGCATGAAGGCATTGTGGGTTCTTCCATGAATTGCTGTTTGAGCCATTGGTTCTCCTGGAGAAACTTTGGTCCTCACATCGAGCATTGCTTCCTGGCTCCAGAGAGGAAGACGTGTGCCACTTGGTCTCCAGGATGAACTTCTCACACTAGCTTTCTGGCATGTACCCAACTGTGCTTGTCATCGAAGGAGCTCGGGGCCTCTGTGTCGCTGAGGATGGCTGTGGTGTCTTTCAGGACAGCCCTGGTCTTTGAGTGTGACTTCTTGGCTGCAGTGTGGAACCCTCATCCCACCAGCACAGCTCCTTCACCCCGCTGGCATGGACTTCCTTTCACCTCTGACCTTTGGGCCTTCCTGGCACGGATCCGTAAGAGACTGGCATGAGTCCTTCTTGTGGACTCTGGACCTCCAGTTGGACTCGTGGGAGGCATTGTCATGAGCTCTGGGTTTTTATCTGGACTTACGTAGGACATTGCTGTGGGATTTAGGTCCTTGACTAAATATTCTGTCTTTGGTGTTGTGGATGGATTTCCTGCATTTTCTTGTGTTAAGTCGCGATGACCATTATAAAAATAATATTATAAAATCCATGTCCTGATTCTACTTGTTCTCCACACAACTCCTGACTACAACACAAGGAGAGAAGAAACACAGAGAAAGGCACATAGGGAGAACATCTTGGATCATGGATGCAAAGATATATTTGCAAACCAAAGAATATCAAGGATCAGAAGCAACATTAACAGCTAAGAGAAGGCATGAACATGTTTGCATGCATGTTCCTGCTAACGCCTTGATTTCAGACTTCTAGCCTTTTGTTGTAAACCACCCAATATGTAGTAATTTGTTGTGGAACCCTAGGAATCTAAAATACCTTAAGTTTCTTGATTTCAGGGCAAGACTTACTGGAATCTCACAGTTAGTAGGCTTGAGGGTCCAAGCGGCCTGTCTGATAACTCTTCACTCTTCCATGAGCAGCCTAGCATTACAATCGTGGTTGGTTAAGTTCTGGGGCCTGTTATAACAAAGCACCTCAGACTGTGTAGCTGAAACCAAGGAAACATGTGCAGTCACGGTTCTGGAGGCTGGTAGTCCAAGAACAAGGTGTCAGCAGGGCTGGTCCTCAGGCCTGCTGCTTGGCTCATGGACGTCCATCCTCTCTGTGTGTCTTGACACGCTTTTGCTGCTGGGCCTATTTTGGTTCTTATTTCCTCTTTTTATAAATATACCAAAGATATTAGTTTAAACCCTATCCTG